CATGCAGAAGGGCACGTGTGACTCATTTACCCCTCACGACCGCCTCTGTAGACAAGTGCTGTCAGCTTTCCCACTGCACAAGCGGTGAAACAGAGGCAAGAGTCGGCAAACTCCTCCGGAGTCAGTAGTTACTCAATGGTAAAGCTGGAAACAAACCCGTCTGCCAGGGGGCCTGTGATTTTTATTTTAATTTATTGATTTGAGAGAGAAAGAGAGATACCAATTTATTGTTCCAATTATTTATACATTCATTGGTGGCTTCTTGTATGTGCCCAGACCAGAGATCAAACCTGCAACCTCGGTCTATCAGGATGACACTCTAACCAGCTGAGCTACCCAGCCAGGGCCCGGGAGTCTGTGACCTTAACTGCCACGCCCTCTTCCAACCATGTTTTCTGACAAGGTCCGAATGTGGAAAGAGGGAATTCAAGGAACCCATCTTCCTGGAAGAGAGCGTGGCATACAAAGGGGGGGCGGTAATTTTCCCGGGGATTGCTCTTAATAATTTCCTTGCTAATATTAATCATGGTCTTACTTTGTACCCTGATTCCCGTAAGAACAGGCCATGAGGAAAGAGAGGCTCAAAGTGAGTCAGTGATTGATTTTGAGGGAAATTCTGAAGGGACAACAAGTTCTCCCTAGACTATTGAATCATGCCCCAATTGTTTAAAAACAAGGTGTTTATAAACCTGAATAAGAAATTATCCCCGATTATTCCCATAAAAGAATTCATGAATCAGTTACAACAGGCTGAATTATTGGCAGACTTTCCTGCACCTGTTCCTTACCCATAGATACAAAGAGTCTTTCAAGAAAACAAGAAAAAATTATATAGACCCCTACCCACAGCCCAGGGATACCCCTGGGTAGCATATTGGATTAATGGCAAATTATGGTATCCCCCAAGAAGAGCTAATAGTCTCTAGAGGGTTCCAGATCCCCCCCATTGCCTTATACAGGAGCATATAATGAGGGTGGCATTAGAATGGTCAATAAGGATGGAGTCCAAGTGCCTTATAATAGTCTACATTTCATGGAAAGGCTAGCTCGAAGCAGACCTCCCTGGTGTTTATTAACTAAGGAACAAAAAAGGTTTACTGTAGCTGGATTTCCTGTTTATCTCTCCTTATATGTTTGTTTTGGTGATCAAAAGGTGGTGGGATTGTTAGACACCTGTATTTCAGGTTTATTGATTCCCATAATTTCAATGAAGTTTTACAAAATAATTTCTTGACCAGAAAAAAAAATCCCCTCTAATGAAATAGCCCCTGAATGTCTAAAAGTTGTTGGAGTAACAGCCCCTCCTTTACCTTGAATAGGAATATATATCAAATAAAATTAGACAGGCAAAGAAATAAGAAAAGCTAGTTAACTATTACAAACTAAGCACGTAGAAACAGTTACCAGGGAGTCAGATGACAAATTCTGAGAACTTTAATAAACAATAAGATATTCAAACTCTGTACATATAGCTATTTCTAATTGTCTGATTTATGGCGCTCCTGGTCAAAACAATCTTTGTTTAATATAACTGAATTCATGGAAACTTTCATACAAATTCCTGGTTACCTTTGTATTGATTTTTTTCTGCTTCACCTAATCGCAAATGTTAATCACTGCTAAAAATGAAAGTATAAAAGCCTGCTTGTACTTGCAATAAACGGAGCAGAACATCACCGTCCTCTGAGGCGTGCTGTCATCTGTCTCCCATCGCCGACGCCTTACCCACCTTTCAGGAACCCCTGGACCCAGCTGCGGCCGGACCGTGGCATTTAACCACTACCCCGAATTGCCAGGAAACTACTTATGTGTCCCCAAACCATGTTTTCTAGGAATACTTTTGTTCATTTGTTTTGTTTTTAATTTTTTTTAAACTTTTTCCAATTAATCCTGACCAGTGTGGCTCAGCTGGTAGGAACACTGTCTCATAACCAAAGGGTTGCAGGTTGGATTTCTAGTCAGGGCACATACCTAGATTGTAGATTCAATCTACAATCCAGGTGCGGGCACAACGACCCTGGGTCCAGACAGAGGGTCCCCTGACGTGTACAAGAAGCAGCCAATTGATTCTCCTCTCTCCCTTCCTCTCTAAAAGCAATGGGGAAAAAAATGTCCTCGGGTGAAGATAAAAAAAATTTTTTTGATTTTTTTCAATTACAGTTTACATTCAATATTTTGTATTAGTTTCAGGTGTTCAGCATATTGGTTAGACAATCATATACTTTACAAAGTGCCCCCCCAAGATACTGCCAGGACCCAACGGGCACCATACATAGTCACTAGAATATTACCGACTGTATTCCCTACCATGCACTTCACATCCCCGAGTCGGTTTTGTAACTACTGATCTGTGCTGGTCAATCCCTTAAACTTTTTCACCCAGTCCACCAACGCCCTGCCCCCTAGGAATACCAGATGAAGGGGATTAAATATTAAATTTTTATAAAAAGCAGTATACAAACCACAAAGAGTAGGATCTCAAGGGTATTCTTTAAAAATGATAAATAGAAAAAAATACTGGGAGGTTTTTCACATAAATAGAACAATTGTTCTCTGGGAGATAAAATCGTGGGTGATTTTGATTTTCTTTTTTTCTAATTTTTGCATTTTTCAAGTTGACTGTAAAGTCTGTTACCTTTTAAAAGGTTATTTATTTAATTTATATTTTAGAGAGGAGGGGGAGAAAAAGAAGGAGAGAAACATAATTGGTTGCCTCTGACATGCCCCCAACCAGAGACCTGACCCCAAAACCAGGCATGTGCCGCAACCAGAACCAAATTGGCAACCCCTTGACCCTCAGAGCAACAACCAGCCCGCTTAGCCACACCAGTCAGGGGTGGATTGCCTTTCAAATAAAAATTTTAAAAAAAAAGCAAGCCCTGGCCAGTGTGGCTCAGTTGGTTGGAGTATCATCCAGTGCACAAAAGGGTTGAGGGTTCAATTCCTGGTCAGGGATTAAAAAAAAAGGACATACACGCTACTTTAAAAAAATGTTTTCTTTGAGGAACAGTCCACAAAAAAGGGAGAAAACCCACAATAAAAAGCAGAATATAAAGTTATATGGAACGTATGATGTCAAAAGGAAGGAATGAAGATAAATTGAACTATCAAAAGTCCTCATCTCACCCTGGATGGTGTGGCTCAGTGGACTGAGCGCCAGCCTGTGAACCAAAAAAAGGTCAGCAGTTTGATTCCCAGTCAGGACACATGCCTGGGTTGTTGGACAGGCCCCAGGTTTGGGGCATGCAACAGGCAACCGATCAATGTATGTCTCACAAATCTCCCTCTCTCTTTCTCCTTTCCTTCCCCTCTCCCTAAATCTTTTTTTTTAAGATTTTATTTATTTATTTTCAGAGAGGAAAGGGAGAGAGAAAGAGAGAGGGAGAGAAACATCAATGTGCAGTTGGTGGGGGTCATGGCCTGCAACCCAGGCATGTACCCTGACTGGGAATCGAACCTGCGACACTTTGGTTTGCAGCCTGTGCTCAATCCACTGAGCTACGCCAGCCAGGGCTAAAATCTTCAAATCTTAAAAAAAAAGTCCTCATCTCTTAGTGGTAAATTAAGGATGATTTGAGGTGAAGTTATTTTTCTCCTTGATGAATACGTTTTATAATCAGAAAACCATCCCCAGCCCTGGCTGGCATAGCTCAGTAGATTGAGCGTGGGCTGCGAACCAAAGTGTCACAGGTTCGATTCCCAGTCAGGGCACATGCCTGGGTTGCAGGCCATGACCTCCAGCAACCGCACATTGATCTCTCTCTCTCCCCCTTTCTTCCCTCTCTAAAAATAAATGAATAAAATCTTTTTAAAAAAAACTTAAAAAAGAAAAGAAAACCATTCCCTTTTTTAGAGAGCTCAGTCAGGCCAGAGCCCCCCTGACCAAACCCTATCAGATATACAACTAAGTATACTCCTTCCCTCTTCCCAAGGGTATCTGGGGAGAGATTTCCTTTAACATTTTGCTTTAACAAATTTCTTAAAGTTAGGAGGAATGGCGGACTGCACAATCCTTTACTGCTAACTCCCCGGTGTTCTTAGTCTATTTTTAACACTGTAGATAAACTACATATTCTGCCAAAGCTTTTGCAAGCAGAGATATGGGAAGAACAGAGTATAATTAAGGGCCTCTGGCAACACAGTGCTAAGGAATGCAGGGAATTCTGGGCTACTTCTTAGCTAAATAAAACATTAGCTCCACACCACTAGGTAAATTCCCAGTGATCCTCTCTCCCTTTCACTGACTTCACCGGGAATCCCTCCTCCCCACCTCATAAGAGAAAAATTAAAATAAAGAGGTATCCACAAAAACCCAAATATGGGGTAGAAGCCACCCACCTTCCTCTCACTGGCCCCAGGCAGAGCTTGTTTACAAAGTCAGTGTAAAGAAATCCGAAACACCAAAGGGGGGGTGGGGGGAGCCATCTGGTATGGCGCCTGCTGCTTAGAACAGGCTGTGGGGAGTGGCAGTGGCAGGAAGGAGTGGCCCTGTGGTCCTGCGGGCCTGAGGGACGGCGCCCTGGGACCCCCCACAATCTAGAGCAGCCCATTTCCTCACTGGTGCCTTTAAACTCGTTTAAGATAAAAAGCTGAGAAGCAAAATAACTCTTTTTTTGAGCAGCATAATAAAGGCTTCAGCACCTATGATTTTTTCTGGGCTAAGCTGTAACTAGTGATGTGGACTCCAATCAAAACACCTGACAAGACAGATATAAGACATGCAGCAACCTGTCCCAGAGACTGGGGAGCAGAGCTCGGGGACAGCCAAGGGTAAAAGGAATGTGAGGCATCAAAGCCACAGACAGACTCAAACTTCCCCCGCCCCATCCTCTACCCTTACCTCAGGACCAAGTGACGCTGGTGAAATCACTTCTTGAAAAGATACACCTCTTTTCCTCCCAAAAAGCAGAATATACTGTTCATCAATATAAGGTGTTACTAGCATTACTAAGGTAGCCCGCGCCCCCACTAACACTCCCCCATGTAGCCCTGAGACTCACATATGCAAGCAGCAGCAAGGAGCCGGCAGGCCAGGTACGGCGGGTCACAGGTCGGAAAGGAGGGCTGGATGATGTAGTTGGCGAAGGTGATGGCGATGACGGCCTGACTGGTGGGTTCGACGATTAGCAGGGAGGCCCAGAGGCGAATGAAGGCAATGAAGCCCCCAAAGGCCTCTAGAATATAAGCATAGCTGGCCCCAGACTTGGTGATGGTGGTCCCCAGTTCTGCATAGCAAAGGGCACCCACAACGGAGAAAAGCCCACCAATGGCCCACACGACCAGCGACAACCCATAGGAAGTTGTGTATGCCAGAACACCCTTGGGTGAAACAAAGATCCCTGAGCCGATCATGTTGCCCACCACCAGGCTGACGCCATTCAGCAGAGAGATCTCCTTCTTCAGCTGCATAGTTTCTGTGGTCCCTTGAGGTGACGTGCTGTCATCTTCCTCCCTGGGCTTGCCCGCCTCAGGAATGAAATGATATGCAGGCGCCTGGCTCTCCAGCTCCTTGGCTTCCATGGCGAATGTTTCCTTCACACCTGTGTTTACTACGGCCTGGCAAAGAATATAAGTATGTCAGTCTAAGGCAGGAGCTGGGGAAGCTCTAGTGTAGACCTGCAAGGCAGGCAGATTTCCCAGCCCACCTCGTATGTAGGACAGCAGGCTTCATACACATACCGAACCACAGTGAGCCTGTCTCAGTTTCCACCACAGGACTCAGGGAAAGGAGGGAGGCAGACCTCCATGGCTCCCAGTAAAGACCCCATAAGAGCTCAAGCACAGCGTGAAGGCGACTTCCAACAAGAGGCACCTGGCTTGTTGCCCAGGGTAGGCTGGCATTGGGTTTATCCATAGCGTGGATTCTCCTTGAGATACAGTTTTGGCTGTGTTCTTGTCAGCTTAAAACCTGCAAACCTGCCCCGCAGAAAAGACCACAGTCCCAGCGCCTGGTTCACAGCCTTAGCCAGCCTGAACGTCTTCTCACTGTCTATACCCGGGGAATGCTATCCACTCGCATCCACCCAGACATAAACAGGGACCTCCATAGTGTGCAGCCGCATGTGGAGAGGACTGGAGCTACTGTCGGGCTGGCAAAGAGCATGAGCAGCTGGTGGGAAGGGCTAGGAAGACGCTAAGACACAGGCATAACACTATTGCCAAGAGGGACCAAGGAGAAAACCTTCATGAAAACACACACCCTGCCCTGGCTGACGTGGCTCAGTTGCTTGAGCATCGTCCCATGAGGCGAGGGGTCATTGGTTCGGTTCCCAGTCAGGGCACGTGCCTGGGTTGTGTGCTAGGTCCCCAGTTGGGGCGCATGCAAGAGGCAAGTGATCGATGTTTCTCTCACACATCGATGTTTCTCTCCCTCTCTTTCTCCCTCCCTCCCCGTAGCTCTAAAAAACAAATAAAATCTTTTTCAAAAAAGAAAGAAAATACATGCCCATATACCACTATTTCAAAAATACCCACCTTACTTCCTACACGTCCACTCAGCACCTTCCTTTCCCCCAAGTGCCCAGAGAGGGACAACGTGGTAAAAACAGACGGAGAAAGAGCGCCCAGAGAGCACCGTGACCTGGGGCCCCTCTGCTGTTGGCTCATTTGCCCTCCTCCTCAGCACCCCCTCACCACCATCTAGGGCTGCAAAGCGATTCTCCCAGAATAGGACCCAGAAGCCCTGACACCCAGTCAGAGCTACAAGGTTCCTCTTATCCACAGATCTGGTTTTGGACGGCACCCTGAAGGGAGGTGGGAGCGCGCGTACGCGCGCGCACACGCACGCACACACACACACATGCGCTCACCCACACTACCACCTTCGGATTCAAGTTGGGCCAGTCCAGAAACCCCGAGGGAGCTGGATTCCGCACCAACCTACCTACAAAGGGCCCAGAATCTGTCCGAGGAAGACAAGCACCGTCCTGAACCTCCCCGCAGCACGGCCTTCTCCCTCCCTCCATTCCTGTGCCCCAGGGGTCAGGAATTCGGGTTCCCTACCCCTAACTCATCTTCCGAAGAAAGCAGTCTGGAGGCCATCTGGTTCCCACCCAGGAGTCAGTCGTGTAAGGGCACAGAGACAACGTCCCTGGATAAGAATGGGGTCAATTAGCACATCATCTTCCCAGAAGCCTCTGACCTGCTCGACAAAAATGGATGTTTTGGAACCTGGCCTCACTGAGCTGGCACGAGGGAACCAGGGCCCGAGGAGTAAGCGGTTCTCAGGGAAAACTGATCTTCACAGCCCCCCTCCGAACTCCTGCCTTACCTGTCTCAGTGCCCCTCCTCAGTCCAGACCGAACCCACCTGAAAAAAGCTCCTTTGGGGCACCAGGAGGCCTTCCCACACTCCCAGAGGGGTTGCGCCAGCCCGCCTCTGCTTGGAGGAGGCGTGGCTGTGAGGTGGCACTGCTTTCCCTTCACCCCTGGCATGGGGCCTGCAGGTCTCCCGTGCAGGCACACCGGAACACATTTGTTTCCGAACACATTTGTTTCCACGTGTCCGGTGGATGAGCCCAGGCACCGGCAAAAACAGAACAAGGAAGTAGCTGAGGAGCCTGTACTCGCACGTGAGTCAGCTGCAGAGACCTAGGCTGTTCTTTTCACCCAACGCAACACAGGCCAGCTCCAGCCTCCTCCTATTCCATCAGACCCTAGCTGGGGGGAGGGGGCAGGGAAGGGGGAAAGCCACCAGGTATTCCCTTTGAACTGCTGACACCAGATGTGTGGGTTTTCCACACAACAAGCAATTCTGCAACACCAGCTGGGTGTCCTACTAAATTCTGACGCCGTCTACCCAGCTAGAGTATCAGTTCCCACAGGGTAGGGGCTCAGTCCCACAAAACTGCCCCCTACCACCGTTTCAGATGCCATCCGCAGGTCCAGGTTGTTACCAGTGCCTATGACTGACTGGCTACAAATAGGAGGTTCCAACCACCCCCTCCTTGAGTTTAATTAAGTTGCTAAAGCAGCTCACTGGATTAAGGAAAATTTATTAGATTACCAGTGCACTGCACTCAGGAAGGTACGGCACAGAGGAAGGTATGTGGCAGGGGGCACCGAGTTTCCCTGAGCTCGCTGGGCACGTCTCTCTCCCAGCACCTCCGCGTGTTCGCCGACCCAGAAGCTCTCCAAACCCCATCTTTCGGATTTTTTACGGAGGCTTAAATCCAAAGGCATGAATGATTAAATCATTGACCACAGGTGATTGATTTGACCTCCAACTCCTCTCCCCTCCCCAGAGGCTGAGACTGGTCTGAAAGTTCTACCTCTAATCATAAGGTTGGTTTCTTGGCAACCAGCCTCCATCCTAAGAGGATTTAGATGCTTTCCAAAAATCACCTGATTAACGTAAACTCCTGCATGTTGAAAGGGGCTGTAACAGACATCCATTTCATTTCTTTCTCGTTTTATGCTCTGGAGCTATTTCAGAAACAAAACTAAATATTATAACAAAAAATGTCCATATGCCTCTTAATGTAGCAAAGTACAGGAGCTGTGGGCCAGAAATAGTGGACGGAGACCAAATATGTATTTAATCACAGTTGTCACAGAGAGGAAAAAACAGAGTTAAGCTCATTTCACAGGAAAATAAAATCTGATATAAAATGGAATCTCCTCAACTTCCCACTTCCATTTAGGATGTAGAAAGCTGGGAAGAGCACCACTCCCACTCCTATAATAAGAAGTTGTTAAATAATCTACAAAACCGTAACTCTCCTTGAAGCCGCCAGAGAACTGAGGTTACAGGACAGCTGAGCAGGCTGAAATTCGAGGAAAAACAAGCACGTCCAGGGAGAGACACAAGCGCTGGCCCCCCTGCAGTAAAGGGAGAACGGTGGGGCCAGCATCCAGCACGGAAAGGGGAGTTCAGATACAATTTGTAAGGAATTACTGAAGGCCAAGTGCGGGTTAGCAGGAGCCACAGACTTCAGTGGACGCTCCTAAGAAACACGAGGCAGTGGCCAGAGAGAGCCCCCAGCAGTGCTCCTCGTCTAGAGAAAGTAGTCACTACGTTGGGAAAAACACAAAGGTCTACCTGGTCCCTTCTCCAAAGAATACAGATCTTAAACCCCTGGGGAAAGGGCAGCAAACTCTGTCCCTCTCAGAGCAGCTGGGGCAGGAAATCCTGATCACACTGAACCTACCTACCCTTACAGGTGCCCTACCTGTGGGGGAGGGGCAGGATCACCCAGAAAGATACACACACATCCAGACCCAGGGAAACAGCATCTGCCTAAGACTGAGGCTGAACCCAAACAAATAATGTACCCGCTGCTCCCCACCACCAGATTAGCAAGCACCCAGCAACAAGACTGCTGAGGTCGACTATGCCTTGATGCTTAGGTGCAGAAAGGCCTGAAGCTAAAGGTGGTGGAGCATAAACACAGGAAAAATCCTCCCTCTAGCAAACCAACCCTAAGCTGTAGGAAGACTTTGGTACACAAAAAGGTAACCATAGCAACAACAAAACCCAAACATAACTGGCTCAACTTCCATACCAACAACCTAGTAAAAGAAGCATACCCATTTCCTGGAATTCATGCACCTCAGTCTTTACTATTCCATAAACTACATCTGAAGAACAATAACAAATCGTAAGCAAAAAAAAAAAAACAAAAACAAAAACAAACAACCAAACAAACCCACTATCAAGAGGCAAAGTAATCAACAGGATAAAACTTAGAGATGACCTAGGTATTGAAATTATCAACAGGGAGTTTAACTACAATTATGTGAAAAATAACATAACAGAGGTCATTTTAACATAGGGTAGGAGCCCCCGTCCCAGAGGGACTGCCTTGCACACTTTACCCCCTCAAATCTTTGGAATGTTGAGACTGGGTAAAGTAACCTTTGGACTGGGCCTGAAATTTATTTTTTATTTTTATTTATTTATTTTAGAGAGAGGGGAAGGGAAGAAGAAAGGGAGTGAAACATCAATGGGAGAGAGAAACCATCAACCGGTTGCCTCCTGAACGTGCCCTGACCAGGGTGCAAACTTGCAATTCAAGTATGTGCCCTGACCAGGAATCGAAGTGGCAACCTTTCGGTCCGCAGGACAACGCCCAACCAACTGATCCACACCAGCCAGGGCTAAAGACATTCTTCATTTAAAAAAAATCTTCATTGTATTTTTGAAACATCTTTTTAAAGACATTCTTTATTATTAACACTACTATGTAAGCTTATCCACACCTATAAAAATTCCTTCCTTAGCTTATTAACACCCATAAAAATTTCCACCTGTTATTCGTGTCATAATTCCCCTCCCCTTTCTCATAAACACCTCCTGCCTTCATTTCCTAATCCTCTCTACCTGAATTGGCACTATTGTTTTGGATCTCAAATGTTTGTTGCCTCTCACATTGGCCTTGTATTTTTAGGTTAACAATTAATATATTAAATGTTCTAATGACAAAGCTGGACAGCATTCAGGAACAGATGTGGGATTTTGGCAGAGAAATGAAAACTTTAACAATCAAAATGGTTAATAGTGAAAAACTAAAAGAAAATAAAGCCTCCAGCCCTGGCTGGTGTGGCTCAGTGGCCTGA